GGTTCTTCCAAAAATATATTTGGCTCAAGTATACCCTGACGTGTCATTTGTAATGACATTTTGATGTGTGTGGCAGACAGACCCCAAGGTGACCCTCAGTGACCCCCACCTCCTGGTGTTCATGCCCTTGTATAATCCCCTCCCCTCGAGTGTGGACAGAACCTGCAACTGACTTCTAACCAATACAATACGGCAGAGGTGATGAGATGTCATCTGTAATTGTATTACAGCATGTAGACTCTGTCTTGCTAGCAAACTCACTCTAGGGGCTGTCCTTGCTGGCTTGCCAAAGTAGCGGCCTTCCCAGGGAAGCCCACGTGACCAGGGACTGCAGGCAGCCTCTAGGAGCTGAGGGCAACGCCTCAATGATGGCAAGAAGTCCTGGGCCTCAGAACTTGTGGCCCTACAAGCATAAGCACATGACTTCTGACAACATCCTGAGGGAGCTTAGGAGTGGGTCCTTCCCCAGTTGGACCTCCAGACGGGACCCCAGCCCTGGCTGACCCTTGACTGCAGCCTTGTGAGACCCAAGGACAGGACCCAGCTAAGCTGTGCCTGGACTCCTGACCCACAGAAACTATGAGATAATAAATGTGTTTGTGTTTGTGTGGGGTTTTTTTTGGCTGCAACACATGGCTTGTGGAATCTTAGTTCCCCCACCAGGGACTGAACCCGGGTCCTGGCAGTGAGAGCACTGAGTTCTAACCACTGGACCACCAGGGAATTTCCATGACCACTTTTTGCCTTTTGGTTGCATTGGAGCCAGTGGCTTCACTATACCGGCAGATCTTTCTTTATCCTCAGCTCCAACACTACAGTATTAGAAAAGTGGAAGCCATTGGTCTAGAAATATCTGTCAATGGGGTGCTGCCCAGTCTGGCGCAAGACCTCTAGACTATGAGGCACAGAGCCCACTTGAGACCCTGGAGTAAAGAGATGGAAGAGTGGCATCTGTGAGAAGAGGGCGAAGCCTCCGGAATATGGTTACACACCACCAGGCTCACTCACGGTGCAGGTGGCAGAATGGTGGCAACAGACCACAGGTAGAGAACCTAGAAAGAGGGTTTGTCTTAAGACTTTCAAGTAAGAGCACTTACGGGACTCACTGGGGTCAGGACAGCACTGGGAGCTGGAGCCCCAAGAGTGGGACAAGGGTCCCCAAGGGAACCAAGGCCATCAAGGAGGTGCAGGGATTCAGTCATTCCAATTGCATCTGAACGCTTGGGAATCCACAGGTAATCCAGCACAATCATGGCAGCCAGGGGGATGCCCCGACCCCCTGCAGTCTCCGAAGTGCTGGATCAAGATCAGGCTAGATGGGTGTTGCTTGCAAGGGGTGTGTGGTGAGAGGCACATGTCCCCGACCCTGGTGTAGCTGTGGGTTGGAGAGCAGGAACAGAAGGCCTGAGTACACAGGACTGAAGTTTCCAGGAGAAACTGTTCCCTGGAGAAGAGAAGGAAGCAATCTGAAGGGGCAGATACCAGCAGCATCTTCCTAGAGGCCAGCGCCTTCCTGGATGGTCAGGGATGGCCACATGAGTTTGGATTACAGACTTCTCAGGAAATCCCTGGTGGTCCAGTGGTTAGGACTCCACTTTCACTGAGGTGTGGGGGGGCCCGGGTTCTAACCCTGGTCGGGGAACTAAGATCCTGCAAGCTGCGAGGCAAAAATAAATACATAAGTAAATTTAAAGAATTAGATTACAGAGCTGTCTACCTCTCTCCCGCGTGTAGTGCCAGGGCGAGGTGACAGCGACGTGGCGCCTCCCCTGGCAGGGGTGATCACATCTCTGCAGCACCTTGGAGATGCTTCCGCCATGGTGCGATTACAACTGAGCCGCCACGTCCCACACTATGACTCGCCCATGCAAGAAGATGGAGAGCAGCCACTGACACATGTACAGGGGCAAGGAGGTTTCCTTTTTCTTTAGATCGGAGCTGTTGAGGCAGGGAGATTGCTACAAACAATAGGAGAGTGAAAATGGAACACTGTTCTTAAAATAATGAGGGTAGGGGGTTTGCTGTATTTCAGAATCATTCTGCTCATCACGGCCCTTCCGTGTCCCCAGGCACCAATGCCGTCTCCTCGGCAAGCACTGCGTCCCAGCTCCCTCCTGAGTATGAGATCAGGCATCCTGGAGGAAGCATCTCCAAGGTCTGCAGAGATGCCTGACTGTGGACGGCTGGGCTCCTTGAAGAAGGGGTCAACGCTTATGAGCAACATACATCGAGACCTTTGCTTTCTCTATAAGGTTTGTTCTAGAGCTAAGGGCAGTGGGGAGGGGGAGCAGAGAAAAAGAACAGGGATGGGGACTTCCCTGGTGGCGCAGTGGTTAAGAATCCGCCTGCTAATGCAGGGGACATGGGTTCGAGCCCTGGTCCGGGAAGATCCCACATGCCGCGGAGCAACTAAGCCCGTGCACCACTACTGAGCCTGTGCTCTAGGGCCCGAGAGCCACAACTACTGAGCCCACGCACAACTACTGAAGCCCGTGCACCTAGAGCCCATGCTCCGCAACAAGAGAAGCCACCGCAATGAGAAGCCCGCGCACCGCAACAAAGAGTAGCCCCCGCTCCCCGCAACTAGAGAAAGCCCACGTGCTGCAACGAAGACCCAACACAGCCAAAAATAAATAAATTTATATATATATATATATATATATGTATGTATATAAAAAACAAAAAGGGAGATAACAACCAAATCAAGAAACAAATCTACCAATGATAATAAACTCTAAATACTAGACTAAGATAAATCTAAGACCAGAAACAAATTAGATGCAGAAAGGAAACACCAAATCTACAGTTGCTCCCAAAGTCCACCACCTTAATTATGGGATGATTCATTGTCTATTCAGGTATTCCATAGATGCTGGGTACATCAAGTTGATTGTAGAGATTTAATCTGCTGCTTCTGAGGCTGCTGGGAGAAATTTCCCTTTCTCTTCTTTGTTCACACAGCTCCTGGGGTTCAAGATTTGGATTTGGCCCTGCCTCTGCATGTATGTCACCTGAGAGTGTCTGTTCTTCACTCGGACAGGACAGGGTTAAAGTAGCAGCTGATTACAGGGCTGTGGCTCACTCAGACCAGGGGGAGGGAGGAGTACAGAATACGGGGCGAGCCTGCAGCGACAGAGTCTGGTGTGACATTACAACAGTCTGGGGTGTGCCGTGTGTTCTCCTGGGGAAGTTGTGCCTGGATCACGGGACCCTGGCAATGGCGGGCTGCATAGGCTTCTGGGAGGGGAGGTGTGGATAGTGACCCGTACTTGCACACAGGCTTCTTGGTAGCTGCAGCAGCAGCCTTAGCATCTCATACCCGTCTCTGGGGTCCGCACTGATAGCTGCAACTCGCGCCCATCTCTGGAGCTCATTTAGGCAGTGCTCTGAATCCCCTCTCCTCGTGCACCCCAAAACAATGGTCTTTTGCCTCTTAGGCGGTTGTGTATGAGGAAGGAAAGAGTGAGCCTTCGGCAAACACAAATTTGAGATACCGGGGAAAATGGGCCTACAGGTACATATTCTCAATGTAATTAATAAGTGCAGGGAGTACTTTGGGGCACAGGAAACTTTGAGTTAAGAGGAAAAAGCGATTGCCCTTTTCAAGTTAAACTTAATTCATAGGGGAAGGAGGTCCAGGGGCTTCTGAGCAAGGGCTGGGTCACGGATGCACCTGGCGAGCAGTTCTATCAGTGGAGCCACCCAGGGCAGCCAACATGGCAGCATGTGTTCCAAAAGATGATGCCAATCTGGGCCACGGGGAGGGGCTATCGTCACAACAGCCATCCAGCCTATCGGCCTCGCTTTGCTCCAATTCCCCACTCACTCTTCCCAAGTATTTCAATCCTGGGAAGGAAGTGCCTTCCAGTCACTGGAAAAGGATATTCCCCTGGAACGCAATGGCTCTGACTCCTGCCCTAGGCCTGTGGGGCTGAGTACTGCGAGTTGGCCTCCAAGGGTCTAAGTGTCTCTAGACAAGACAAGTGTCTCCGGACAAGAAAGGGTGTCAGGACTGGTGAGAGCAAAGGAAGAGCCCAGCCCATGGAACATTCGCTAAGAGACAGCCAGTCCGGGCAGTCTCTGCGTCACCTGGTGGCTGGTCTCACTGCTGTGACCTTGCTCGCCACTCTTTCGAATTTCTACATTCACAGCTAGACCCCCAGATGTCCCATGCCCAGTTCTATGTAGTTAAGTGACAACATGCACACACACAATCCACAGCTTTGCCTCTAAGAATGATGAAGTTTTCATATAAACCACAGAATATATTTAATTCAAATTAAACATGAAACTAGAATAATGTTCGCTCCTTATCAAGTAGCAATTACATTGTTCAAAAAAAATAAACAGTACATTTCCGTCTACATTCTGGCAATCCAACGAGGCCAAGGCAATCCAGTTTGCTGAGGTGACGGATCCAGCAGTCACCACCAATGCTTGTGGTTCTGAGGCAGTTAGGTAGACATAGACCATACTTCACACAAAATGATTCTGCAGCACGTCCAAAGAACAGGAACCTCCCTTGTGATATATAAGGACGAAAGCACAAGTAGCAGGAAGCAGGTGACTTGCGTAATGGATGTACTTTATTAAATAGATAGTTAACGCATTGCTTTTTGTTCATTCCAAATTGCTGATGGTGCTCCCTGCATTAATAGCAGTGACAAATGCTTCCTACACATGCCTCGGCAATGATACTCTTTCCACTGTAGGTATTTCTTTTTTCTTTCTTTCTTTCTTTAAAAAAAAAATTTTTTTTTTTTTGGCATGATTCTTTCCCATGGAAAGAAAGCCAGCTTCTTCAAGACACAGGTCATTCAGCTTTAAGTGTCAGCCTCGGCTCTCTCCTCAGGCTGTGAGAAGGCCACGTCCTGCACGGTGAGGCCTTCTTTCTCCCTCCACTGAAAGCTTCTCGCTGTTTGGTCTGCGAAGATTAATGTCTGCCTGCCCCTGCTCCACTCACCAGGGTGGAAGGGGTCAAGGGCAGGGGGTGGCTTTCTTCACAGGGCGGTACTTTCTGTATCATTGTCCATATCCAACAGAATGCGGCCGGGCAGGTCTTTGCTGGCTGAGTCTGAATGCGTTTCGGGAAAGATGTTGCGAAGCGGTTCTGAAACCCTAGAATTGGCGTCTGGACAAAAACACGAGGAGACATGGTATCAATGCGTGGTAACAGCCAAGAGGCCACCCGCGGAGAGGAGAAGCTGGAAAGTTTGAGAGTCAGCCCATGCACGCACACTCCCTTACTAGAGGCACCATCAGCCCTGAGAAGTTGAGTCAAGCCTTTGATACCCCAGGGGCAGCCAGCCACGTGGCAAAGCCCCACCTCCTGGCTCTGGTGGTCCTTTCTGTGAGTGCACGGCAGTCCTCGCAGATGCAACCCTGGAAGGATTTGCTTGCTGTGACTGAGGAGAGGAAACCTTATTCCTACCAATGTCTCTAACACATTAACTGAAATCTCCTGACAACATCTGGGCTGCAGGAATAGCTGAGCTTCCCTGGGAAAAGTTCCCTCCTCCGAGGTTGGTGAGTGTCCTCCTGTTATTAATGCTATGCCCTCAACCTCGGCACTAGTGACATTTGGGGCTGGATCACTCTGGGCTGTGGGGCTGTCTTGTGCACTGTAGGATGTTTAGCAGCATCCCTGCCCTCAACCCACTAGATGCCGATGGCACATAGCTCTCTTTCCCACAGTGTGACAACAAAAGATGCCTCCAGACACTGCCAAATGTCCCTGGGGTGGGAGGGGGGAACAATCACTGAAGTGTAGCACCAAATCTCCTACAAATATTAATTTTCTCATCTATTTCTAATATTGGGCTGGCCAAAAAGTTTCGGGTTCTTCTGTAACATGGGAAAACCCAAACGAACTTTTTGGCCAACCCAATACTTATATAACTCCAATTCCTTTTTCACATCTTATTATGTTGGCTGGAACTCCTTCGGCAAGACAGTAAATACACGGTCCTCGAGCCATCATCCCTCGCTCCCATGCTCACAAGACACCTTAACCAATCACAGCCCTCTTCCTAGTGAGACGGTGAGCCTCAGATTCCCTCATTCATAAACAAATACTTACTGAGCACCTCCCACATTCTACCAGTGAGGACACAACAGTGAACAAGCCAGACACAGATTTAATGAAGCCTACAGCCAAGTGGGGGAGACAGGCCCTTCTGTCTTGAAGAATTTGTTTCTCTGGTATATGTGAGTTCTAGCAAATGATGAGCCTTGTTAGGGATTTTAGGGCTGGTGGAAGAGAGAAGGGAGACGTTCAGATTTGTGGTAGTTTCACTGTGCCAGGTTAGAGCTAGTCATGCAGGGAGCACGGAAGGAGGGAGAGTGGGAGGTGCGTGTGCTGGGGTTTCCCTGTTATGCTTAAGAGCTGCTTTTCTGTACTTGCTGTGGTGTAGGTACACCGTGTGTGCCCTTGCTGGGAGCTGCTTTCGGCAGTACTTCTGTTTTACCTTCTCCTCACCCACACAGACAGAGCTGGCAAATGCAGGTGCACCCTGAGAGGCTCACTGCTTTGAGACTGGTTCCTGATCCGACACGTGCCCACAGCTCTGAGCTGTGAGATCCACTTACTTCCTGGGGCGCCCCTTTACTCTCAGTGACTCCTGGGTTGGAAGGCCCATCTGTCGAGGTTTCCTACGCACCACAACCCAGAGAAACGTCTAGATTTATGAAGGTGCCAAGGTGTCAAAGAGTTCAGGTGCTGGGTGGCATTTCAGACAATTCAGGTCTTATATTTGTAAAACCAACAAGCAGGGGAGCCTCTGGGAGGCTCAACTCTCCAACACAGCTGGCACTGGAAGGAGGAGCAGAGCCAGACTGGTTGGGCTCTGGAGCCTGGTTCTTAATCTGCAGAGGGCATCTCCCCCCCCCGCCACCGAGGAGGACGTATGCCCTTGGGTGAGCGGCCTGGGAGAGAAGGCAGTGCCTAAGCAGATGATGGCTTGAGTTTAAATACTCTGCTTCATCTTAGTACAAAGGAGATAAAGGTTATTTTAGAAAAGTGCCTGCAGGAGCCCTTCAATATTTTTTTAAACACCTCTAAAACTTTCTGGCTATAGATTTACACAAGGCATCATTTTTCATTATATGCATTCCAAGAAGGGCTGGTCTTTGAGCATATTGCTTGGAGCTAAGTTCATATGAAAGATATTAGATTAAAAGAGGGAAAAAAAAAAACCAAAAATAAAAACAAGAAAGACGAGCAAGAGGCCCAGGTCACAGCCTCCGCTCACAGGCAGAATGCCATGTGGTTCACCACTGCTCTGCGGCTCTGACTAATGTAGCCTGGTTCCCTCCTTTTTTTGAGTATCTTTATCCAGGAGTGGACCCTGCGAGGGTGGGAACTGGCATTCTACAATTTAGAGTATATGGTCCTAGAAAGTCTGTCACTTCAGCAATTTTGAATATGTGCTTTAGGTTGTAAATCTCCCCTCTGGAAAGGCCAAGGTTATTCTGATATAGCCACTTTGACAGGTAACAGATCCAAATACCTCGCTGAAATCAAACATTTCAGGCACGGCTGCAGGGTGAATCAGCCGCCTCCCGATCATTAAATCCTTCTCTAAACTACAGTCTGAGGGAATGACTTCCTTGCAGTCCTCATCAGGTTTCTAGGGCTGTGAGAGGCCGACTCGTCTCTGGGAGACTGAGTCAACTTTTTATTATTTCAGTCAAAGGATAGATTCTGTTCCAGTCTCACTGGATGTTTATCTTGACATGATTCTGACATCTACTTATTAAAAATAAAGTGCAAGTAGAAGCAGAAGCCACTTAAATGTCCAACTACGAGCAATAATACAACTGCTTAATGAAATATTATTCAGTCATTGAAAAACTACATTGTAACGTGGGAAAGAGCATGTGATGTAAAGGAAAATAAAACGGCAAAATCAAAATCTGTATATGCCAAATAACTATGATTGTGCATCCCCTTGCCTTTTAGAAAAAAAAAACTAGAAGGAAAAAATAAAATATGAATGGTGGGCTTTTTCAATTATGGAAGGGTGATTTCTTATTGTTTCTAATTCCCCAATTTGTTTTAGTATCATACTTATTTTTAAAAATGCATTACTGGGCTTCCCTGGTGGCGCAGTGGTTGAGAGTCCGCCTGCCGATGCAGGGGACGCGGGTTCGTGCCCCGGTCCGGGAAGATCCCAGATGCCGCGGAGCGGCTGGGCCCGTGAGCCGTGGCCGCTGAGCCTGAGCGTCCGGAGCCTGCTGTGCTCCGCGGGAGAGGCCACAGCAGTGAGAGGCCCGCGTACCGCCAAAAAAAAAAGGCATTACTTTCATGATATAAAAGGAGTTTAATTTTAAAAAGCAAAGGCTATGAGAACCAACAAAGTCCCAACTGTCTGATGACTACTATTGTGACATACAGCGGACAAATGACTCACTAAATTAAGAACACCTTCTACTCCAGAGCACTGTCTTTTTAACCCACCACCAAGTGGCACATCAGGATCAAAATATGGATGCCTGGGCTCCAGACCTCCTGCGTCTGTGTCCCAGCATGAGTTTTTAAAATGGTGACATACGAATCTAATACCTAACCCTGTATTACCTTTTTTTTCTCTCCATAAAAATGATAATAAGCAGCTACCATTTACTTAGACCCCCTGTATATTAAGAACCGCAAGATGCTTTTCTTATTTTATCTACTGTAATCCCTTTGAAGGTTATTCTCACAAATGTCACCATTTTACAGATCAGCCAGGTTGTGCCGTGCCATTGTTACACAGAGTGAGCTGAAATTTTAATTCAGGCTTGTCTCATTCTAGTGTGTGCTCTTTCCACTACCCCTCAAGCCTGCCCAGTACAGAAAAGACTGGAAGTTAAAGAGGTAACAAGGCCAGCCTGGTGATGACGTGTTGCATGTCTGTGAACACGCTTAGTATTCAGAGTACTTGGCAGCAAGCATGAACAAAGCCAGCCTCCTTTAGCACATGCACTATTAGTAGGGGTGCAAGCAGGCAGGGTTAGAGTGACCGGTTAATATCAGGCATTAGTGCACAAATATGATCATCAAGTAGCAAAAATGCTTTGGCCAATCAGGTGCCTTTTCCTTACCATTAAACATTCCAATTTCAGTTCCTACTGAATATGGCAGGTCATACATCTAAATTATTTAATAAAATGTTAAATTAGAACACTCTTGGCTAAAATCTATTACTTTAAAAACAGCAAGATGTAAACTCTTTTCCTTGCAAAGCTAAACTCCTACTGCTTTCTTTTTCTTTCTTTTTTTCTTTTTCCTACTGCTTTCTAGAGTAACAAATTAGGAAGAGATTCAAAATGACAGCAGAATCCCTCCTTTCTCTGGTGCTCGTGCTGAGCTGCCACAAATTGGCTGTCAAACCTGTTTAGCAGCAGTAATCACCCCCAAGAGTTTATCTTAATCCCCAGGCCTTAATTCAATTTTTAAGATTAAATGCTCTAAATGAATAACCTGTTCTCAGGAATTTGTCTGTCTAGAGTTTTCCGAGTGAGAACATGATGTCATAATAAAGGACTAGGGAAGTCACATTTTTTTCTTCTTGAAATACCCAATGGCTATATCCAAGATTGCTTAATAGCAGCATGAACAACACGAGCATATTCGTAAATTCTAAATGTTGGCCTTTTGTGTGCTCCTAATGGCAATCCAGGGGATTTTAAGAAATTAAAAATTAATTCTGTAATACAAAGGTAATGGTGGTGACCTGTAATTTCTTGAGTTAGGAGAATTCGAAGTGCAGATTGGTTTTAAAATATTTAGCTAATATCCTAAGGAAAAGTATTTATAATATCAAATTTCACTTATCTGACAATTGTCAAAGTACAGAGCACTGCAGAGTTATAGCAGATCAATAAAATAAGCTTCTGAAATAAATACACCCCAGGTAAACATGGTATTAAAGAGCAGACATAATTCTGGTCTGTAGTCTTTCATCTAAATAAAAGGGAAGATCTGGGAATAAAATTCTGATGAAGTATTGAAGTGTTAAAAGGCTCAGCCTTAATTAGGGTTTAGTCACTTCACTCTGTGATTTTCACACCCAACTGGGCAACCACAGACTTTTGGGCTCATCACCTAGGAGTCAGGAAGGCGGAATCACGCTTCTGTGCCCTCCTCTGTGTTGTAAAGATCGCATTCTTGTTTTCCCCTTCTGGTATCTACAGAAAGTCTTCCTCAGACCAAAGATGTGAAAACGCTGGCTAAGTAGTCCACTGAAGGCTTAAGGCTCAGATCAGCTGATCAGAGCAGTAACGAGAGCCTTATCCCGTCTAAGTGTGGCCCTAAAGGCAAGATTCAGATAAGCCTCACAGTACCTTTCAAAAAGCTCATATGGTTTAAGAAAGCAAAATGTAAGCATGCCAGAATGCAAAGTGTGGGATCTTTGGAGGAAGATTTTTTTTTTTGGTGGGGGGCGGTCCTGAGAAATTCAAACACCAAATTAAGAAGCTCCATGCAGTTAACTTGCACTTAAGAGATAAAATTAAAAATTAAAGCTCAAGACACAAGGGACGCAATTTTCCGTGCTAACTGCACCCGAGACCTCTTTGGATGGATGCTGATGAGCCAATCAATGAGAGGGAAATCACGCTGAAAAGAGCAGAATGCTTGTGAAAGGCTTACCAAAAAGAAAGGAGACATTCCTTAGTATCTTATCTGAGCGGCTTGAAATCGGGCTTGCAATCTACTGACATCTACCTCTTGAATTTGAAGCATTTGCAGCTCAAAGTGCTTCTGATAAAAACAAAAGTGATGTCTAGAGAATGGATGGCAGGGGGTCAGATGGCTGCTCCTGAGCACAAAGTCAAAAGCATGTATGCAAAACACCGCTAAGCAGGAGCATTTGGAGCTGTAGGAAGCTGCTTGGGGGGTGTTACAGACCTTAGTCCTGGAAACCTTCCCCACCTGTGAGGGCGCTAGGAAGGGCATCTATTGGGAAACAAACAAACCAATGTGGCTTTGTTTTTTTAAACATAAAAGCTGAAGTGTCATCAGAAAAAAGTTAACAATTTATAACACACACAAATCATGCATTCTATTCCTGAAAAAAAAAGTTATCAGAAGAAAGACTAGTTGGTTAACCCTCATCACTTAGGGTACCAGTATGGGGTGTATCCTTTGCTCATTTTCAGCAGAGATGTCATTCAGGACGCTTGGAGGGCCCAGAGGTATATTTCAGCTGCTTCTCTAAAAATGGCTCCACTTAGGAAAATTTAAAACTAGGCTGTTCTAAGATACGATTCAAAGCTCCTAATTACCATTTTAAGAAAACACACTAAAAAAAAAAATCTATCCATCCCATCCTTAAATCAAATAGTAAATTAGAGCACTTGGGATGGAAATTTTTAAAAGAATCATAATTAAAGAAAATGGTCATGTTCTAGACGGCCTATAAAAAGAATACCCCATTAGGTAGGTAAAATCTGTACAAGCACCAATACCCAAAACAGATTTCCACGGAATTATGAGGAAATATTGATTCTTCTGTCCTTTGCCACTAGAGGCTGGCACTCTCATATGATCGTGTCCCAAATCTCCCTTCCCAGAGCATCCAATTTGGCACAAATCACGTTTTTTAAGATTATGCCTGAAATGCTTCACTTTCTATGAATATTTTTACTCTTAAAAGGAAAATAAGCATTTTAATGAGGGATTCACCAAGAAATGGATGTCATGCTCAAGTTGTACAATACCTTCCACCTGGATTACTAGGTCATTCATTATACCTAGAAAAATGTAAATGTAGATTGGCTCTTAAACACATAGTGAACCTATACATCAGGGGCTGGCAAACTTCAAGGGCAAAGTAGTAACTTTGAAGGCTCTGAAAGTATATGACCTCTGAAAGGACTACACAACTTTGCACGATAGCCAGAAAGAATATGTCAACAAATGGGCATAGTTGTGTTTCAATAAAACTTTATTTATAAAAACAAGCTGAGGGCCAGATCTGGCCTGCGTGGTAGTTTGCCAACCCCTGATATAAACGAAAGCCTAAATGAGGGGGAGCAGTAAAAAGCCAGGTAGAGTGGACAGGGCGAAATGTCTGAACCCACTTCCCACTTACCCGTGACTATTTTGGAGGAGGTGGGAGCTGCGATGCTGAGGCTGCCATCCCCGGCGGGGTGGGCGCCAGGAGGATGAGGGGGTGGGGGCACGCTGGGCCGGTTCCTCGGCTTTGGTACTGGTCTCGGTCTCGGCAAGGTTCCAGCGTGTGGCTGCGCGGTCTCGGGGTTACTCACCACCTGGCCGGGGTTCTGTTTTCCTAGGGGCGGAGTGCTGGGGGGCGTCGGCGTCTGGGGAGGGGTGTGGGAGGACTGCTCGAGTCCGGGCTCACCGGGCGGGGCCCCGGGGGCCGGCGGGCCCTGGCTGCCTGGCTTGGTGAGCGCTGGTGGCGGTGTGGACTGCGTGGGGGGCTGCGGTGGCGGGTGGTTGGGGGCTTGGATCGGAGGCAGGCTGCTGGAGTATCTCCGGGGGGCGGAGAGCTGCGAGGTGGCGCAGGGCTGGCCTGGGGCCTGGCCGGGCGGCTGAGTCGGGGGGGAAGGGCTTCGGGTGGACGGCTTTGGTGACAGGCTGGGTGGATGCTGAGATGCTCCTGGAGAACTCTGGCCCCCGGGATGGCCAGGAGGCGGGTTTCCAGGTTTCGGGGGTGCTGGAGCAGGTTTCTTAACAGCTGCACAAAGGAAAAACACCTCTCAGGAAGAGCAGCACGGTGATGGCCGACGCCCCCCGGGCCAGGGCACCGAGGCTGATGTCACCGTGTAAGCCAGCTGCTGAGATCAGCACCCACGCCCACTCCCAATACCACACCAGCTGGTGGCACCTCACCACCATGGTCCTCCTCCCCCAAACCCACAGTCTTAGTCTAACCATGAAAAAAGCCTCTGACAAACGCAAATTGAGAGACTGTCTTTAAAATGCGAGTACTCCCCAGAACTGTCAAGGCCGTGAGAAAGCAAGGGAAGACGGAGAAACCGTCACAGGCCAGAGGAGAGTAAGGAGACGTGATGACTCAGTGCCCTGTGCCCTTCTGGGTGGGGGCCAGCAGGGCTCGGAAGATGGCTGTTAGAGGAAAAACCGGTGACATTTGAACAAAATGAGTTTGGTTAGTACTAATGTACCAACGTCGGTTTCTTAGCCGTGATAAATGTACTGTGGTGATGTAAGATGTTAACAGAGGAAAGTGGGTCAGGGGTATACGAGAACTCCAGACTATCTCTGCAACTTTCCCGTGAATCTAAAATTATTCCAAAATAAAAAGGTTATTTTTAAAAAGTACATTATACACACATAGGTCTTTACAGACCTGTCATTTTAAAAGTTGAATAATTAGAAAACTCAGTTAATGGAGGCCACCCTGGCTACATGGAGTCTCCGCTCAAAGCCTACTTGATAGCGACCTTCTCTCATGAGAAGAGACACAGAGAAGCAAGAGCAGCTAAGCGGTGGTGGGGGGGGACCCCTAAGCACGACTGGTCTGCCTGTACAGACCATGGGCCCCTTGCTCTAAGGCATCTTCTCCTAGAGGACTTGATTTTTTTTTTTTATAACAGAAATCCTATGAATTCCAGAACCACTTGTGCTAATAGATATATTCTAGATAAAAGTACAGATCTGGACGATCGCCTTAGATTCAGCTCTAAGGAGAGCTGCATCACATCAGTCTCCTCCCTACACCAGCTGAGATCAGCACCACTGGCGGGTGGGAATTTGGTACTGAGGATGGTAAGGTAGGTAGAAAAAACAAGTCTGGAGACTGGTTTTGGGCTGAGAGGTTGGGTGGAAAGGAGAGACTTTAGCATATTTCAAGTTCTGCTGAGATCTTACTAATCGCCTAAGGAAGGGAGAGGGAAACGAAGGGAAGAAATGAACATGTAACACTCACCTAACACATGACCAGGACCAAGTTGGGCCCTTTACATAGACTGTCTCATTTAAGTCTCACAAGCACACCGCAAAACAGGCATTGTTATATCCATTTCACGGTGCAGAAAACCAAGGCTCAGAGAGGTCAAGTGTTTGTAAAAGGTCACACAGCCAGTACGGAGCAGAACAGAGGCTCACACCATGTCCTGTGGACTCCTTGGACTCTTTTTTCCCTCTTCCTCCTTCCTGCACTGCCTGGCTTCCTGCTCATAGGGGCCAGGATTCAGGAATGAAAAGAGTATAAAGTCTACTCTATTGGCCTAGGACTTCTGATCCCAGAACTGGGAAGACCTTTTCCCACAGAAACAACCAACCGGCTGACAAAGGAATCTGGAATATTAGCCGCACTCTGGTTATCATAAGCAACTTGAAAAGAAAAGTTTCTAGCTCCCTGTTCTAAGCAATATTAATTATAAATTCATATTGGATAAAAGATCATTCTTGACATGTAAGGGAGCAGAGGGAATTAGAAGAGAAAGCATGAGAGTAGCGTGATAAGGCTCAAGTCCCACATTGGCCACGTCCATCGTGGAGGCCAGGCTGGGAGAAAGGCAGGCCTTGTCTAAGGCCACCATGAAGGTGCTGGGAGGCTGAGCCAGGGTGGGGGATGGCACACAAAGGATCAAACTGAGATCTATGATTTCAGGAAAAAGGAAGCAGGAAAGACTCCGAATGGGGCTACGAAGGAACCTCAACCTGAAAGCAGGGGCTCTACCTGGAATCCAGGTAGAAAAGACCTAATTTCCCTTGAGCACCAGTTGGGATACAGATGAAGGTGGCGGTGGCTCAGAGGAAAGCCGCCTTAAGATTTTTCAATAGCAGAACTGTTATTTATTCTGTCCTCTGTAACCCAGTCCTGGTTACAGAGGAGATATTAAAGTGATATGGACTCAGAAATATATCCTTTGCCCATTTTTCAATTGGGTTATCTGTTTTTTTGCTATTGAATCATATGAGTTTCTTATATATGTTGGATATTAACCCCCTAACTTGACTGTGGTCATTATTTCACAATGTATACATATATTAAGTCATCACATTGTATTGTACCTCTTAAAAGAAAATGCAACACGGGATTCTGGATTGATACTGGGACAGAAAGAAAACTTTACTGGAAAAACTCAGAAATCTGGTCAAAGCCTGAAGTTTAGCTAATAATATTGTATCAGTGTTAATTTCCTGATTTCAGTAGTTGTTCTGTGAGAGAGTAAAATTAAGAGAAGCTCAGTGAAGACTATACGGGCATATCCTCTATACTACCTTTGCAACTTTCCTTTAAGTCTAAAATTATATAAAATTCAAAAAAATTTAAAATATATATGTCATTTCATATTGAAGATTATCCATCCTCCAATAAATACAGTTGGGAGTTAAGACAGGGCACCATGGTTCACATGGAATTTAACTGGCTTTAGAAGCATTTTTGGTAAATCATGTCCCTTTCTAGACCAGAGTTTCTCAACCTCAGCAGTACTGACACGTTGGGCTAGATAGTTCTTTGTTGCTGGGGGCTGTCCTGCACATTGTAGGATGTTTACCAGCATCCCGGGCCTCTACCCACTAGATGCCAATACCACTCCCCTCCCTGCCTGTGACAACCAAAAACGTCTCCGGACATTGCCAAATGTCCCAGATGGTGGGGGACAGCTAAATCATCCCAAGTTGTTCTAGGTCTAAGAGGCACTTGGAGCTCTCAGACCACACATATTTGAGTGCCCTCTCTGTGACAGGCACAGGACAAGGGCTAGGAATACTGGAGTGCGTGAGACGGGTAAAATCCCAGCTCTTTAAGAGCTACTAGGGGAGACTGGCAATACGCTAAAAAACAAATGTAAAAATTTCAGATGGAGGAAAAGGCTCTGAGAGAAATAGAGTGATGTGACAGAGAATAATTTATGTGAGTGGTGGGGCTGGCAGGTGGTCATCAGTTCAGACTGGGTGGTCAAGGAGGGTTCACCAGGGAAGCACTCTTTGAGCTGAGACCTGAATGATGGAGGAACCATGTGTGGAGCAGAATAGAGTGAACAGAAATAAATCCATGCCTATACAGTCAATTGATCTTCGACAGGGTACCAAGAATACACAGTGGGGAAAGGACAGTTTCTTCAACACATGATGCTGGGAAAACTGGATATCCACATGCAAAAGAATGAAGTTGGACCCTTATCTTACACAATACACAAAAGTCAACTCAAAATGGATTAAACATAGGACCTGAAACTGTAAAACTCCTTGAAGAAAACACAGGGGGAAAGCTTCATAACATTTGTGTTGGCAGTGATTTCATGGATATGACCCCAAAAGCACAGGCAACAAAACAAAAATAGATGTGTGGGATTACATCAAACTAATAAGCTTTGGTACAATCAACAAAGGAAATGACAGAATGAAAAGGCAACCTACAGAATGGGAGAAAATATTTTCAAACCATGTATCTGACAAGGTGTTAATTTCCAAAATATATAAAGAACTCCTCTAGCTCAATAGCAAAGAAATGAATAACCTGATTAAAGAAAAAAAAAGAAATTAAAAAAAATTATTTATTTATTTGGCTGCACTGGATCTTAGTTGCGGCACACAGGGATCTTCATTGCTGCATGCGAGATCTTCGTTGTGGCACGCGGGATCTTTAGTTGAGACATGCAAAGTCTTAGCTGTGGCACGTGGGATCTAGTTCCCCGACCAGGGATTGAACCCAGGCCCGCTGCATTGCGGGCACAGAGTCTTTAGCCACTGGACCACCAGGGAAGTCTCATGAACAACCTGATTTTAAAATGGCCTAAAGGGACTTCCCTGGTGGCGCAGTGGTTAAGAATCCACCTGCCAATGCAGGGGACACGGGTTCGATGCCACATGCCGCGTAACAGCTAAGTGCGTGCACCACAACTACTGAGCCTGTGCCCTAGAGCCCGTGAGCCACAACTACTGAGCACACGTGCCACAACTACTGAAGCCTGCGTGCCTAGAGCCTGTGCTCCACAACAAGAGAAGCCACCGCAGTGAGAAGGCCTCACACCACAACAAAGAGTGGCCCCTGCTCACCACAACTAGAGAAAGCCCACGTGCAGCAACCAAGACCCAACACAGCCAAAAATAAATAAATAAAAAAAATAAAATGGACTAAAGACTTGAATAGACATTTCTCTAAAGATGACATAAAAATGGCCATTAGGCATATAAAAAGGTGCTCAACATCACTAACAATCAGGAAAATGCAAATCAAACCCAAAAACGACATATTACCTCACATCTGTTAGAATGGCTAATATAAAAAAAAAGACAGCAAGTGCTGGTGAGAATATGGAGAAACTGGAACTCCCATACACTATTTGTGGGAATGTAAATTGGTACAGCCATTATGGAAAACAGTATAGAGACTCCTAAAAAAAATTAAAAATAGAACTACCATATTGATTCAAGAATCCCATTTCTGGGTATTTATCCAAAAGAACTGAAATCAGGATCCTGAAGAGATTATTTGCACATCCATGGTCACTGAAGCATCATTATTCACAATAGCCAAGACACGGAAACAACCTATATGCCCAATGACAGATGACTGGATTTAAAAATGTGGTGTATATATAAAATGGAATATTATTTAGCGTTAAAAAGGAAGGAAATTCTGTCATATAGATAACAACATGGACAAACCTTAAAGACATTATACTAAGTGAAATAAGCCAGTCACAGAAGGACAAATACTGCACGATTCCACTTACATGAAGTATCTAAAATAGTCAGACTCAGAAACAGAGAGTGGAATGTGAGTTGCCAGGGCCTGGGGGTATACAGTAGAGATGGGGAGTGATGGAGAGCTGGTATTCAATAGGCATAAGGTTTCAATTATGTCAGGTAGCTTTACGTCATTGTGCCTACAGTACAATACTGTATTGTACACTTAAGAGTACAGTACTGGATACTGTACACAAATATTTAAGAGGATAGATATCATGTTGTGTTCTTACCCCGATAAAATAAAAAAGAAGGAACCATGTGAAGATGTGGGACAGAACGTTCTGTAAGAGAACACATGTGGAAACTCCAAAGAGGGAATAAGGTTAGTGCACTGAGGGGCAGAGCGCAGACCAGCGAGGCTGAAGTGAGTGAGGGGGCAGGGGAAGAGCTGGGCTCACAGGCCGCCCGGCCAGACCACGTGGCCAGGCCACGCAGGGTGCGTGGTGGGAGGTCTGCATGGAAGGCACTGGAGAGCTTCAGCCAGGATGACACGCTCTGCTTTGTGTTTTAAAGCCACACCCTGCTGGAGGGCATTATGCTGAGTGAAATAAGTCAGACAGAAAGACAAATCCTATGTGATATCATTTATGTGTGGAATCTAAAAAATACAACAAACTAGTAAATAAAACAGAAAAGAAGTGGACTCACAGATATAGGGAATGCACCAGTGGGGAGAGGGAAGGGGGAAGGTGCAAGATAGGAGTAGGGAAAAAAAAAGGAGGGGTTATTATGGGATTATATGAAATCATTTGTGTGAAACTTTTGAAAATTGTAAAGCACTATAGAATTTAAAGAATCCTTCATTCAATTAAAAAAAGAGGGCTTCCCTGGTGGCGCAGTGGTTGAGAGTCCGCCTGCCAACGCAGGGGACGCGGGTTCGTGCCCCGGTCCGGGAAGATCCCACATGCCGCAGAGTGGCTGGGCCCGTGAGCCATGGCCACTGAGCCTGCGCGTCCGGAGCCTGTGCTCCGCAACGGGAGAGGTCACAGCGGTGAGAGGCCCGCGTACCGCAAAAAAAAAAGAAAGAAAGAAAGAAAGAAAAAACAGCCATTTCCCTGGCTGCTGGGTGGAGGACCACGAGGGCGTAAGTGGGAGCAGTTCAGATTACATGTGAATAGGGAACTAGTAGGCCCTGATCCCAATCCAGAGGGCATGAGGGCTCCCAGACTCACGAAGCCTGGCTGGGACAGAGGCCAGGCTGTGGCAGTTCCAAAACAGAGCGAGGGCTTGGAGCGCCAGATTCCTGGAAAATGGGGGGCGTTTCTGGAGAAATGACTGTTTGTTAAGCTTTGTAGCTTGAACATATTCTTAAATGTCTGCTTTCCTGTTCCCCATTTTTCCATCTCCCTTTAATGATTCTTTTCCTTAATGACTGGTTTTTCTGCTTGCCATTTTATAACAGACATGGAACCATCGGAACAAGCTTCTCAAACTGACCCCTGCACCAACCCAGGAAGGTTTGCACATCCCTCCCCAAGGGCGCAGAGTAAAGGTGGTGACTTACCTCGGCGCACCGTGTGAGGGCTCGGGCCGGCCGAATTGTGCGTAGGGCCCACAGAGAGCTGATGGGAGCCGGCAGTGGCCTGGGCCTGGCTTTGGCCGGGGGCCGCCTGACTGCTGTTTCTCCCGGGTGCAGGTGCAGCCGCAGGATCCTTGGGCTTTGGAGGACTAAGGGAAGCAGAAGCCAAGTTAGATGTCAGGCATTCCCAGCTAGAAAAGCTAAACATGCTGTAAAATATCAGATTCCAGCTAGAGTTTTCACTGCAGCGGGCAAGGAGGTGATCTGAAAGTTTAAATAGCTCACACTGGGTCTGTGAAGCTAATACTTGGTGCCACACAGGACCACATATTTTATGAGATTCATGGCATCAGACTATCTTCCAACTATTTTGCCACTTAAATATCATGATAGAGGCCATTCCAAGTTCTAGTGTGCTTACACTTAAATTGGGCAGTATTTAAAAACATGAAAGGGTTTTTGGACTTCAAAATAATGCAATTATGCCATATACATTGCACAAAACTAAGCAAATGCAATAGCAAAATACTAACACTACTCTAAATTACAAAGTGCTCAATTATTATCAATAATTTGGACTTCAGGAAAGAGAAACTCTGAGAGGCTAAATGATTGCTCAGGGTCCAGAGTTGGTTAATACTGGCGTAGGGGTCAGAGCTCAGGCTTCCTAATTCCTGGCTCAGAACTTTTTTATTAAAGTTTTTTAAAAATTTTAATTTATTTATTTATTTTATTTGTGGCTGTGTTGGGTCTTTGTTTCTGTGCGAGGGCTTTCTCTAGTTGTGGCAAGCGGGGGCCACTCTTCATCGCGGTGCGCGGGCCTCTCAGTGTCGTGGCCTCTCTTGTTGCGGAGCACAAGCTCCAGACGCGCAGGCTCAGTAGTTGTGGCTCACGGGCTTAGTTGCTTCGCGGCATGTGGGATCTTCCCAGACCAGGGCCCGAACCCACGTCCCTGCATTGTCAGGCAGATTCTCAACCACTTTCACCACCAGGGAAGCCCTGGCTCAGAACTTTTTATACTGAACTTTATAGCTACAATTTGTCAAGGTCACCAAAGAGTAAATGGCATTGGTGAGATGTACACAAAAATATCTACAGAGCAAAAGAAACAAAGACCAAATTGATAACTGACATTCTATTTGTCCTTCTGCAGTGAAGACTAATTATTATCTTAAATAATATATTTAGCCTTGATTAAACAAATTGAATGCTACAGGTAAATGAAAATGTGTAAGAGTTTGCTAAGACTTTTTTCTCCAAGAAAAAGATTTAAGCCCAAACGAATACATGTGTGGTAGCAGTTACGGAAAGACCAACGTGGAGCTTACGACGTGCACGTGAAGCACTAGGGAGTTTGAGGCCTTAGATATTTTTAACCAAAAAAGTGAATTTCCTCAAATTATGCGGGTAGAAAGGTATTCAGGAATACACAAAGTCCTCAGAGTTCAGCTATAAGGATTTAACGAGATTCCGATCTCCTAAGCAGCTAGCTTCACACAGCACAAGGCACTCTCTCTCCACCCAAAGAAGAGGTGACGGAGTTCTCCCAAGGCAAAGTCACCTCTGGGCGGAAAATAAGTACATGATTAACAGGCCATCCTTGTTTTATCATTTATTTTACTTTATATATAATCATTTAGTGCTTTATAGGTGGCCAAGGTAGACCAAATGCAATAAAAATGTTAGCACGTACTAGAGGGGCTCATCTTTTACAGCAGCTGCCAGTCCTGTACGACCCGAGATACCACCTGAAGTGGCCTCTGGTGGTCATCTGCCTGGGTCAGAGTGGAGAACTGAATTTGTGCAAATTAAATAAAGGTCTCAACTTCAAAGGTATTTTTCCTTAAAGTTGTTATATATTCTTAGTCCACTCCAGGTGGTTAACCAAAAGGTGAAGCAACAAAAGAGCTTTTTAAGAAAACTTATCATCACATTTTCTACCTTGTACTCATGTATCACCTGCCCTACAAGACTGAAAGCCAGGGGGTTGGGGGGATGCTCAGTATAGCAGAGACAGCATATATTATTCAGTACTCAGTTATTCAGTAAATCTGATTGGATGGATGGATGGATGAATGATGGATAAATGGATGGATGGATGAATGAATGGATGAGTGAGTGAATGCCAGGAATATAATAACTTCACTAACTTGTTGCATTCAAATGTTTACTAGTTAGCATACTGAATGACAACAAGCAAATGGTACACGAACAACGAGTACACATCAAACAGGTAGGAGAGGCTTATAAGACTGCTAGACACTTATCGGCTTCTGGCTCCCAGCCCCAAAGCAGTAATGGTAAAGAATGCAAACAAATGTTGCTTTCTTTTGAAAACAGGAAAGGAAGCAGGCAATTTGCAGTCTTTTTTTCCATCCTTTGCCAACCGGAGGAGTGAAGGCAAAGCTGGTTCACTCCATGCCTAGTGATCCTTGGGGCATGGAGGCCATGCCCACAGGCCAGCGTCTGCAAGAAGGCTGGGGTGTCTGGCACCCACTGCCAGCAGATGCTGGCCTCCTTACCTGCTGTCGCCCGGGCTGGTCCCCTGCTCCAGTATGCCCGCAGAGGGGACAGTCCCACCCCCTGTGCTGCTTTCGGCCCTAGAGCTCTGGGGAGGGGGCTCTGGGCCCGCTGGAGCCAAGGTGCTGCCATCTGTGGGTGGGAGTGGCGGCTGGAAAGCAGGGGATATGTGCTTTCTATTTAGGGTGCCACCCCGCCGGTGAGCCTGGAAGTCCATAAGCTTCACACCAAAGCTACACAGAGAGAAGAAACAGTCAACAACACACCATGCGAGCCGACTACTGACACAGAAGCCCATCGGTCCTCGCGTGTAAAACCCCACACGCAGGGACAGCCACCCAAGTTGCCCAGCATGCAATGAAGCGGCAAGGACCAGATTAATGGTCACTCCTGTTACCCAGGCAAGCAACTCAAGTGGGCTTTAAACTTGGACCTGGTACCCATCGATGCCCTTTCTCAAAGTGGGTATGGGCAGCTGAAAGCAAATGGGCAGGCTTCATCTTGAGTAAGTGACATCGTGTTTGTGTTTTTAATTTCCATAGTACGATGTACAAGGCGATTATCTCGAACCTGTGTGTTTGGGCATCAAGGTGGAAGCTGAGTGCAGAAGTGCCACCAGTGGCAACGTAAGGCTGTCACATCGCACTGCCTCTTAAGCTGAGGTGTACAAACACTGGTCTATGCATATGCAAAGAATATATCTGAAAGGACGTGTAGGACTGGAAAAATAGTTGCTTTTGGGAAGGGGATGGTGGTTGGAGGACAGGTTAGAAGGGATATTCACTTTTCACTGAAGCCCACTGGTGTATGAACTTTAACACTTTTTTCCAGTTCAAAAAATAAAAAGACACATGGCTCCCTGAGCTTGTGGCTACTGGGTCAGTTGGCGGGGGGAATCCATTCAGGAAGGTGGCTAAGACCTGTTTATTGTGTGCTAACTAGACCCGTAACATTCCATTTTGTAACTTAAAATACATAAAGGCTAATTCTGTGGAGGACAGAGTTTGTCATCAGGATGCACTTCCGAAAGCGGGAATGTGGGTTCAGAGAAGTGACAGAATAGAAAAGTAAAGCTTTTTCCTTTTCTATGGGTTTAAAAAAAAAAAAAAAAAAAAGGCAAAACAGAAAACAGACCACACTATAAGATTGGGCAATTAGAATAAGAGCTTGCTGTTTAGTTTTAATGTAAAACTACTTTCAGTAACATTATTGCATGTATGCGAGAAAAGCACATGACTTCTAATTCAGCATTATTGGTGAACACAGTGGCACTTCAGCACACATGTCGGATAGACTGGCATCTGAAGGCAAAAATCACAAATAGCCTTAACAACCTTTGAAAATCCCACAAATCACCCAAGGAGCCTAGCAATAGAGACTAGTACTGTCTCTCACTAGTCCAACACAGGCTTTTTTTTTTGATTCCAGAATTGGCAAACACTGAGGTTTCTACGGTTGGCTTCCGATGAGGGGCCAGGTTATACTAAGAATATATGTCTTCAAACACCAACTCGCACATGTCACTGTGAGAGGCGGGTTGTTCTCACATTCACTCCTGGAGAGACGTTCCACGATACCTAACATTTTTTGTTTTCCTTTTTCTTTCTTTTTCCCCAGTCAAGTACATTTAGGTGAATCTGTAACATGTGTGTGATGCTACTGTGTAGGGCTTATCAGAGACCACCAAGTAAAGCTTGAGTGCGTTGGGTATGATTGTTAACTGACGAGCCACACACCTGCTTTGGGGTCAGATTAATGTTTGGAATGGACTAAAGCAGAATTCCTGAAACTAGCTGGACTCTAAGAGGCCTGGGTGCAGGCCACTCCCCAGTGGCGAGGCCACTGAGGCAGGAGCGGGGACGGTGGGCCCACCGACTCCTCTCCGAGCCACCGGCCGCTGGTGTGAAAGTCAACAGCTCTGCACACACCTCTCCTTCTTCATCAGGTCCCCCTCCATCGCCGCCACGCTGGCAGGCCGCCTCCTCTCCAGGGTCCCTGAGTCGACAGGGTCGTTTCCCGTGTGGGATGAGTGATTGGAATTTGGGGTGGTGAGAGGTACGAATGCTTCTGATACATTAAATTCCACCTCTGCCAGAAGAAAGAAACAAGGGTATATGAGACACAGGGCACAGGGGTTGAGGGAGCTTGAGAACACTCCACTGGAACAGGAGCCTCATTCTTCCATCCACAAGCCCTCACTATTTCACAGGCAGAAGCCCCGGGGCACTCTCACCTTCTTAAAGGACAGTTTACCAAACCAGGGTGGCGGGTAAAATAAGAAAACCAGAAATAGGGGAGGGGGTATGACTCAGAATCCAAGTCACACAACTCCCCTGCTTTCCTTTCTGTTAAAAAAAAAAATCATGGAATACAGAAGAGGAATGTGAGCATGGGTTATACTTATCTGAATCTTAAAAAATAAGATATTTACAGCTTGATATTACATAGAAATAAAAGGCAACATCAATTCCATACGGCCTATAGCAGATTTTGAAGACTCGTTTTCTCAAAGGAAATCTCGGACAGAATGACAATATTCATTCATCCATCACACATTTACTGCGCAACCTTACATGAGTGGGGCGTGATTCTCGATGGCGGAAGTCAGTGGTAAAGAAAAGATGAGCATGTCCTGGCCTCATGGAGCTTACACGCCAGGCGATGACAGCGGGGCTGCTCTGGGCGAAGCTGGGGTGGGAGGTCCAGACTCCCAGCACTTGCCCAACCAGTACCCGCAAAGGGAGCCACGGAACCTCTGAGGATCCCTGCATATTCACTGTCACCTCTTCTATAAAGCAATCCCTGGCACTTTGTGCCCAGTATGAGTTGTCAACTCATTCCCCATCCATCTTCCTTCTAATGTGCCATGTGTTACAATTTCTCTGATGATGAAGCCTCCTTCTCCAGGGACCAAGTTCCTCCAGGGAAGACAGCATGTCTTACCAGCAAACATATGCGCCTGGGGAGTGTTCAGTATACACTGGCTGAATGAATGACTCCATGTTAAGTGAAACAAAGTGAAATACACAATAATGTGGTTACTGCTTTGTCAAAATATGAATGCAAATAGTCTAAAAAGAAACGTGAAAAAGTGAAGCCAATTATGTAATCATGAAGGGATTACTAAAGTATCTGCTTCTTCAGAAAGATTTTTTATACTATTGTTGTATATTGTTGTGCTTTTGGGGTCAGTGAACTCGGAGTGGCAGTTACCTTCGGGGAAGAACCAGTTGGCATGCTGAATGATGGGCTCAATGACAGCAACCACGTGGACGGATGTGGCCGCTGCCATTTCGGCTAGCGTTCTGCAAAGGAAGTTCACAAAGTTAAAACACCTCCCCTAGGCAGCCTCTGATTTCTGAAGGTTGGGTCAGGGCAATTCAATTTTTTATATCCAAAGGATAAAACATTTAAGTACGAATGCAAAAATTAAATGCACAAGGCCCTGGCCTTAGGGGTGTGGCAGTGATCACCCAGGAAGAAAAATTGCCCTGACCCGGCTGTCACTTCTTAGTCTGTGTTGTGATAACAACTAGGTGTAAGTCAGTGACCAGCAGTGTGTCAAAATGCTGGTTTTCAGTTGTTTGGGGACAGGGTTGCATTTACCCACTGGCACAGTCCTTCCCCTGGGAGTCATCTTCTAAGTCTCCAGATCACCACAAACCCATTCTGCCTAGAATGCAGCCAAGCGTATGCAGTGTTTCAGGGTGCCTCTCATCATCAGAAGACCTGGGCCTCCGCATTTACACATATTATTAAGGCTGTCACGCACGTACGTGGACTGGTCCCAAGATGCATGTTCAGAAGCTGACTGTGTCCGAATGCCCAGGGCCCACAAGGAAGAAAATAAAGAAGAATCGTTCCTGCTGTTGAGGGGCTCATATCCAGTTCAGAGTCAGAACACGGGAAAGCAGACAAGCTGCAAGGGCCTGACATTTACTGAGCACCTACCACGTTCAGAGCCTCAGATTCCTCCCTGCATTTAATTTTTACAACATGGGGACTGTTCTGAGGCCTTATAAATGAAGACACTGAATCCCTGATAGGCTGGATCCCACACCTGACTGCCCCAAACCTATCTCCCCCCCCTCATTTTATCACTCTGACCTCTCTTTCCATTGGGGAGAACATTTTCACCCCAATTTCCAACCAGGTGAAAGTTCTAGCTTCTTTTAAATTCCAGCTTAAAATGCAAGCTCTGCCTGTAAATTACCCTCCCCACCTGTTCACACTTCCCTCTGCCCATCTGGATTCTGATCCCTCCCGTATCTTAGAACCTTAGAACTGGGGAGGAACGGTCCACTCGTGTTCTTTGCAAATTTTTCTTTTTGAGGAGGTACTGTTTGTCTATTGATTTCAAGACCTTTTTATATATCTGGATATTTTTTGAGGAACTCCTAGTTTGTGAATTGCCATTTATTTAAGGAGCTTTCTGACTTACAGAAGTTTCTAGCTGTTATAGAGCTAAGTCTATTTGTTTCCAGAACTGATTTTGTTTATAAAATTCGTTTATATCCCCAAAGCTAATAAATATTTACCTGCCGTGTTTATGTTTACTTATTTATTGTTTAACCTGCCATATTTATGACATCCCTCTTTATATTTACCTCTTTGGTCTTCCTGGAATTTATTTGCTATAGGATGTGACGTACTATGTAGTTAGCTTTTATATCCGCTTATGTTTCATTTGCTTTATGACACTGGATCTTTGTAAAGAATCTTATAAATACTTTCTGAAACAAGAGTGAGCATACATGAGGGAATGAATGAGTTAAAGACAGAAAGATTTTGATTCAGAAAGTCCCTGCATTTTTTGATGGAAATCTGAACCTCTCATGATTTTACAAAGCTGAACAGCAGTGACAGGGGGCGCAGGGAAGGGTGGTGAAGCTTAAGGACAGACTCTATGGGCCCCACCATTTCCCTGCTGTGCAACCTTAAGCAAATTATTCGTCCTCTCTACGCCTCAGCATCCTCACCTGCAAAAGTGAGGACAAAAGCACCAACTCCAAAAGATAACTTGTGAGGATTAAATGGATCATCATAATGCCACCAAACAGAGCAGACAACAACGTGAGTGATTTCCCAGATGCTTTCTAGCTGACCTCCCTGATCCCTTTCCTCCAGTCAATCTACAGCTCTCAATGCCAACAAATTATCTTTCTAAATGCAATTTGATCAAGTCATTCTTCTGCTGAGAAATTCTGATGTTCCCTTCCCCCCCATGACCCGTAAAATAAGTTCCTAACATCTCAGCAAGATATGTGAGGCCCTTCCTAACCCAGCTCCAGCTCCATAAACCTCAGCCACAGCCTCATGGCCCCTGTGCTCAAGTTACATGAGACCACGTGATTACGCCCCGCCCCGCCAATATAGACACCAGGCCCTTTCATACCCGCTGTGCGGGGCTCATTCAGGTCCCACGCGTGGGAAACCATTCATCCATCAGCCCCTCAAGTGCCATCGCCTCCTGAACTTCTCAACCTGAGCTGTGTTCCTCCTTTATAACGTCTGTGATACGTAGACGTGTATGCGGAGCTTATCACTGCATTATAGCCGTCCACCTGCCTGGCTGCCCAGGACTGGGGCCCCTTGAGGACTGGGACAAGGTCTCCTACACCTTTGTGTGACCAGCGTCTGGGACAGGACCCAGCTCACAGCAGTGCTCCGAGAAAGTCAGCTAAAGGGAAAGATCAACTTCAGAAGTGAGTTACATTTCTGTTGTTCCCATCAGGCGGAAAGAAGTTAAAATAATAGGATATGGGAAATGATTACTCACCCTTCATTTTTGGCCCATAACAAGTTAGGGCCTAACACGATTGCAATGTTGCTAGGAGTCATTTTATTAATGTCACTGGTCTGAGCAAGCTTTGCAAGGAACTTGATTAAATACCTATGGAACAAAAGAGAAGGGGGAGAGCATCTACTCTGAAATATTTGGAGGAATAGTATCTCCCTGCCTGGGGGGCTCAGCCCCAGACTGCTCAGGTGCTAACCGCAGGGTGTTAAATGACTAAATCCAAATCGGGCTCCGGGTGTGTTCTTTGTTTCATGGAACAGATAGTTTAGGGCTTGAAAGGTGAAAACAGATCAAACATAAACCTCAAAGATTCGATCTCTATATGCTGTGTATTTCTAATCCGTTTCTCCTTTATGCCCTATCTACCCTGAAATAGATTATACTATGATTAACAATGGGATCAATGTTTTTAATACAAACATAATAAAAAAATAGAAGTACAGTCATATTGCTTAAAAGAAACTGTATTTGAAAATGCTTTAGGCTGTAATTATGAAGATATCCAATCTATCATATAGATATACTCTCTTATATGCAAGAGCAGCACTATAAAAGCAAAAAATTAGGGACAACTCAACTATCTACCAATAGGGAGCTGATTAAATAAATTACAACATAGCCACACAGTGGAGTACTATGCAGTCATAAAAAGTAAGAAGTACGGATATGGACAAACCTACAGGATGTATATTAAGCAAAGAAAGCAAGGAGGAAAATGATGTATATAATATACATTGCCGTTTGGTTTTTTAAAAAAGTGAAAGCTGTGAGAGAAAGAAATGTTTGTACATATGTATATGTATATATATATTTGAGTCTATATGTATCATCTCTTGCTGACAGGATATATAAGAAACTGAAAACATAGGTTGTGTCTCAGGAGAGGAAGTAGGGTGGCTGGGAGAGAGGAAGAGGAGAGAGATTTTTTCCACTGTACATCTTTGAACTTTGAACCATGGGAATGTCCTCTCTATTCAAAAAACAATTAGTAAAAACTTTAATGAGTAAATTAAACAAAATAAAAGGCTAAATCCCAAAGTAAAAGAACTGTAATTCAGTTTCCACCATAAGACACTAAATAGGCTAAGAGTATCTGCAATTCCAAGCTGGGTGTGTTAAATGAATAAAATAAGGAATATTATAAATATCAATGCACTCATAAGGCAAAATTGAGAGTTAAGATATTAAAAGAGAATGTTTAGCTTAGCTTAGTGACAGGACCTAAGACTGAAATTAACGGTCAGGTGGCATACCAGAGATTTCACCAGTAAAGTATTTGTCATTTTGGACCAAATCCTCTCACAACATTTTCTTTGGTTTTAAATGACTTTGTTACCTGGGGCTACCTTTTACCCTTCTCTCTATGCTTCTTCAAAGTTACATTTTAAGTCAAAGGGAAAATAGGGGTTAAATCCTAGAAATTTATTCCACGGTAAAATTTCCTAAAAACATAGTCATTCCATAAACTAATACATAATCTGCATTTCTTGGAATTTTATTTAGTAGGATGATTTGTGCTCTGCTTAAAATAAATTATGTAGCATATATGAAAGATATTACAGAAAGTACAGCTATTGTTTAATTTTTGCCTTTTAGATACTGGACAATTTAGACTCCACATCCAACATACTGTCAGTCAACCTCTCCACAAGAATTTTTTTCCCCAATAGCTGCAACGATAAAATGATCAGGCAACTTACCTATTAATGCCAGACACAATCAATGTGCTTCAGATGCATCACAGTAATATACATCAAATCCCATTCCCAGCAAACCCGCGTTACTCGCCAGAGCATTTTTTTGATGTGCCAAACATGCTTGAATTAAATGGCCTCTCTGCTGTGGATTAAAGCATTCTTCACTGTAGCTTGGTGGCTTAATTTGCAGAATGCCAATCATACATACCTAAAGTTAACAAAATTTTGTGGTGGCAACTTCTGACATGTTCTCCATAAATCCTGAAGTTTTTTGTCTTGATCTTGTACACTGAGAAAAAAAATTTATTCATAACCATTTATTAATGCTCATTTTAGGAATACCTGTGTTCATCTGCTATATTAACAGCGATGCCTCCACTGACAGAGAAAGCACAGCTGGAAAACAGCACAGTGGGAGTTCCCTGGTGGTCTAGTGGATCAGATTTGGCACTTTCACTGCCATGGCCCGAGTTTAAGCCTTGGTCAGGGAACTGAGATCCCATAAGCTGCATGATGCAGCCAAAATTTAAAAAATAAATAAATAAAAAATTTTTTAAAAGCCCATTTTTTGGGAAAGAAATTTGGAGTCAAATACTAACTAACATACTCTGAGCAGTTAGTCAGCCTTGCCAAGACTCAGCCTCCTGATGTGCCAAACTGGGGATAAGAAGGTTAATTCTGCCAAGTGACCGTGAGGCTTCAGAGGCAGAACAAGGAGGGACCACCTAGACCAATGCATGGCACACAGGAGACATTCTGAAAATTCTGTCTAGAAAATGTGTATATTCACGTACAGCCTTGGGGAGCCAGATGCTCCCAGCACCCAGACCCCTGGGTCTCTCCCTGCTCTCAGTACTGCTCAAAGGCTCCCGGCCAAGAAGCCCTTTCTGTTGTGAAGCAACTGCTGGAGGTCTTCTGCTGTAGAGTTTCAACGTGCAAGCTTTCACAGGCCCAAAGAGCCTGCAAAGCAGAGTCAACCCTGCCCACCAGCAGCACAGAGTGTTCGAAGTTGCCCACACGACATGCCTTTGGACTTAAAACCTCCTCCACAACTGAACCAGCCTGCAGAGCTTCGGGTAGGGGTTAAACATGATTATACTTTAGAAGCTAGTTGACGTGTCACCGGGAGGGGATGACAGTTCTCAAGTGTAGAAGCGACACACCAGTGGACGGATACCTTCCTTTACAGCTTATTTCCTCACAGGATGAGTTTGGGAGTCTCAGAACAGAGAGGAGAGTCAAGGCCTAGGAGAAGCGAAGGAGCCCACCCAATACGAGACCCTAGAACCCCGACCTGACACTGAGGGCAGGTTCCATTCCTTCAGCCCCACAAACATGGGCACTCACGGCAGGCCGCGCCCTGGGCTGGGTTCCAAGGACACAACCAGACCGAGGACTTACTCTGACTTTAAAATCCTCACCACCTACCAGGGACAAAGTCTCTCACTCCACAGCTACGGAGAAAAGCTCAGATGCCTGGTTCAAGTGACGACATAAAGCTCGTCGGAGCACACAGCTTATTTGATGGGAACAGGTGACTGCATCTGGAGACGGGGGGAGGAGTGGAAGGGCAGGGGAGATGTGTTCCTCTTCCCTTACAGGTGAGGAATTAGGCACCTCTGAGTGAGAACCGGGAGGGACAAGTTGACAAGGAGGTGGGCTGGTTGGCGGGAGAGAAACCTCTAGAACTTTTGCAACAAGACTGCCTTGCCTAAACCAACTACTTCCAGGCAGATGGAAGCTGGGAATGGAGAGGAAGGGATAAACAACAGGAACTCCAGCTTTGGGGCAGAGAGTTCTGGGTCTGAATTCCAGCTCTGCCAATTATTTGATGCCATTTCTCCCCCAGCCTCAGTTTCCTCATCTGTAAAAGGAGGATAACAACAACTTCTGCCTTTTACGTCATTAATTACGGGCTACAGGAAGTAATGGGCATAAGGATTACTACGGTACTCAGCACTCAGTAAGTGCTCAGTAAATATCAACTATTGTTACTGATAATGGTAACATTATATTATTACACAGCTGAGTTCCCACACAGCTCTAAATACACTATTTTAATGTTATGATTATTATTTTTTTTTAAATTAATTAATTTATTTTTGGCTGTGTTGGGTCTTCACTGCTGCGCGCGGGCTTTTCTCTAGTTGCGGTGAGCGAGTGCTACTCTTCGTTGTGGTGCGCGGGATTCTCATTGCGGTGGCTTCTCTTGTTGCAGAGCACTGGCTCTAGGCGTATGGGCTTCAGTAGTGGCAGCACGCGGGCTCAGTAGTTGTGGCGCACGGGCTTAGTTGGTCCGTGTCCCCTGCATTGGCAGGTGGATTCTCAACCACTGCGCCACCATGGAAACCCTTGAATGTTATTTTTATGATCCCCAAGGGTAAGATGATTTACAAAGGGGACAGAGTATTGCGTCGTTTCCTTTAGCTTTTAAAACTACGTGTTCTTTAAACTTACCTTGCAACTTGTGTCCATTCTTCATACAAATTAAAAGTCATCAAAGGTTCAGGCAGTTCCCGTAAATAGGACTTTAAAGCACCTGAAATTATTAACACCCTCTTTGAGTATGACAAGGGGCAAGGCCGGAACTCTCAGGATATATTATTTTGCAAATTGAAATGATCTCAACTATAACCGTTCACAATGTATAGAATAAATCATGAATTGACAGGAGTGGTTACAGAATGAAATGCTCATAAAACAATTTCCATCCCTTGTAAAATATATTGAGAGATCAATAGAAAATAAAATTAGTTTCAAAGCTATCTTCTTAATAAGACATCATCTCTCTAGGCAGATGGAGATTTGGGGGTAAAAAGGAAGAAAATAAAAGCATGCCTCTAAACATCTGGATTATAAGCTACCTTCACCTTTACTTAATAATCAGGAAAACAAAACAAAACCCCCAAAACAGGAATAGAAAAGCTATGTATGTGTAAGTGTACACACACATGCTTTTCAGTTTTCTTTGTCATTTCAGTTTTGTCACTTAAACTTATAAGGAGACCATTTAATTTTAACTGTCACTTAATATTGGATCTTTAACTGATGATCTGTTACCACCTTGAGGGCACCTCCTTGGAGCTCACCTGCTACAGCATGGGGGTCTGAGTAGAACTCATCCAGGTGAGAAGTAGAACAGTCTAAAGCAGCTTTCAGTTTCTTTAACTTGGAGGCCCCAGCCCCAATTCGGAAAAGGCCCTAAAGACAATGAAAAGCCGTTAGTATCAAGTTCAAGTTGTGAGCCTTATGCGGAGTGGCAGTAAAAACCTGATGGAAGAGCCTTCCACCAACCCCGCCCCCCCAGCTCCAGCACAGCTTATCCAGGAGAGCTGCAGGGCTGTCGGGAGGAGTAAAGAGGACTGAGCTTGTACCCCGGGCAGAGTGACGGGCAGAGAGCAGACCATTTTTAATCAGTGCTAGCTCGTGCCCTGCCCCATTGCCAAAATAACCATGCCTGTTAGGAATCTATTTAAAAGCTATATTTCATACTTCCACCAGGTTGATCACCATGGATTTTCTAAATTTAGGAATATTTTTTAAAAATTGAAATCTCAAGAAAAATTGTTAGGCTTGACTACTGGTCACTTTCACTGCCCTAAATGTTACTTGGAGAAAAACCCATGACAGGTTAGCCACGGGAGCAGGCCTGATGGAGACGTTGGGCCAGCACTTATAAGACTTTTAGGCTTTTAGCAACATTAATCCAGGCAGAGTTTCCCGATGTCAGCAGTACTGACATTTTGGGCCAGATAATTCTTTGTTGTGAGGCTGTCCTGTGCACTGAAGGATGTCTAGAAGCATCCCTGGTCTCTACCCCCTGGAGAGACAGTAGCAACTCTTCCCCCTGCTCTCCAAGTTGTGACAATCAAAAATGTCTGCAGGGGCTTCCCTGGTGGCGCAGTTGTTGGGAGTCCGCCTGCCGATGCAGGGGACACGGGTTCGTGCCCCGGTCTGGGAAAATCCCACATGCCGCGGAGCGGCTGGGCCCGTGAGCCATGGCCGCTGAGCCTGTGCGTCCAGAGCCTGTGCTCCACAACGGGAGAGGCCACAACAGTGAGAGGCCTGCGTACCGCCAAAAAAAAAAAAAAAAAAATGTCTGCAGACCTTGCCAAATGCGAAACTGGCCTTGGATGAGGAGCTCTCATCTAGGCTGTTAGGAGCTGGGGTCACGTTGATGGGGTCAGGGTGCAGGAGCATGACTGGGAGCAAATGCAAGGAAGGTTCCCCAGGGGGTTTCTTGATCTGGGTGCTGATTACATGGGTGAGTTCAGATGGTGAAAATGTATCAAGCTGTTCACTTATGATACATGCACTTTTCTATATGTACGTTACACTTCAATACTAAGCTTTCAAAAGTTAAAAGAAGACTTGTGTTTTGATTCTAGCTCTGCCCCGGCATGAATTCCTCGTGTGCTGAATTCCTTGTCTACACAAGAAGAGTAATGAGACCTGCCCTGCTTGGTTCATGGGGTTTTCTGGGTAAGGATTCCACAAAATAAAGTATGTAAATGCCCCTCCCACTTCCACCCGACAACATAGTTCTACACAAATATACAATTCGTGTTATTAGAAACTAAAGCTCATGGGAGCTCTGGTTCCATAGTACCTCATGAAATTCATTTTCACAAATCACAACCACAGTGTAAAATGAAATAATCAAATGGGACCAAAAAGAAAAAGGCAGAGTGTACTGCAGGTAGGCAAGGTAAGTACTGCTCTGTGAAACCTCTGTTTCATTTAGGGTCTACCATGGCAACATGGACAGGGTCTCAGTGTGAAATGTGGTCACGGTGAGCGTGGTTGGAGAGCCACTGGTCCGCAGAGGCCGGCTGGGGCAGCGGGGCCTCACCTCCTCCTTCATGCCCGTCTCCAGGAGCAGCATGACGCAGGCCTCGAGGGGCAGCGCGATCTCACGCCCGCTCCGCTTCAGGTGTTCTTCCAAAGGCGTCCCGAAGGCGGGCTTCTCTGCCCACTTATCTAGAGCAGCAGACCATTCAGTAAGACACTCAACAACCTCACGGCATTGCCAAGTTATTTCCTCTCCCAAACTACTTAAGGGGATTTTTCTTTTTCTTTTTTTTTTTAAAGCCCATAGCCGAGGATTTGGAAAGGGGGAAGCATCTATTCTCTTCGCTTTTGTCAGTTCCCATTTACTAGGGTACAAAATGTGTGCCAGGCTGGGGAGGTGACCAGTGGATGAGCACCCTGACGTGCCCACGTGGCACCCAATGCAAGATGCCCAGTGGAAGCTGCGATGGTGCTTCTGGCCCCAGCATCACACCCGCATTTACCCGAGATGGGTGGGCTGCCTTGCGCTAAAACCAATGGTCCATTTAGGCACACTGTTTTCACTGAAATTTATCTAGCCATGAAAAGCATAACTAGTCTTCTACCTAGAGGACGAGAAATAGACTCCTTCCATTAAAAAATGAAATAATTTCTTAAAAATTTAAACACAGGCCAAGCGTTGTCATACAGGACTGGAGAGGGCCCATGCCAACCCCTATTAGAGGCGACATCTCCAGGACACGCAGCACTTCTGGTGCCATATCCCCAGACAGTCCAAGATTCTGAGTAGGAGAGAATGCAGCCCCAAGGCAGCTGAGGCTGGAGGCTGTGCCGACAGCAGCAAAGCAATACTGCATATTATTTTCCAGTCATGTGCTCTGCTTCATTCCACAAAAGATTTGAGGCAGCTTAGCAAAAAGACATACAATAAAGCGGGAAACAGAAATAGGCTTTTAGGACATGGATGTATTGAAGGAGTAAGAAGGGTGTGGTTGGGCCCAGCCTGCCTGGCGGGGTGCAGAGATCCAGCACCGACTGAGAAGCACACAGAAGCCAAAGAGGGCAAACCAGTTGGTGGAAAATACTCCACTGGGGAAGCATGGTTCTTTCCAGCGACAGGAAGGGCTCATGTCCCTCAGCCTGTGGACGTGTGTCCTTCAGCCACTCTGGTATTTGAATCCTGGATTCCAGGCAGGCAGTGTAACCCTAGCGTGGCTCTGACACTGCCCTACATGGGAGAGCAAGCGGGGCCCATCACAGGAAGGAAAGTGAGATCCCACAAACCCGCAGACCTGGGCGCTTGTGAAACGTCAAAACTTGATGGAAAGAGCAAGTAGGGTAAAGGCTAAAGGAAGGGGTGGGGAGGGCGGAAGGCAGTGGCCACTCTCAGAACTGTCTGGAGGCCCCTCGTCCCTGGCTTCAGCCCCGGCCCTGGTCAGTGGAATTCCAAACACAAGAAGCATCCAAGGGCCTGGCCCTTCTCAGAAGACAGAGCTCTGGGACAGTCCTCTCAAAGGCCAGATCTTACCTTGAATACTTTCTCCCTTTTATCTAAAGCAATGATTCTCAACACAGGCAGAAAAGGGCCAGCTGACCCTTCGCCTGGGCGGATACATCAGAATCACCCAGGGGAGTTCTGCAAACGACTCCTGCCATCACCTCCCCATGCCCGACCCTACTATGCTGAGAGGCGGGCACAATCCAGACTCCAGCAGACTCCTGCTGGAACTTTCTAGTAAACCCTGGACAGGGTGCCCCTCCCCCACCTCGGTGTAATGTTGGCAGAGGGTGGAGGTGAGAGCCGCTGACCTAGAGGCCACTCCGGAGGCAAACTCCACCACAGGGGCTGCTCCTCAAACCACAGACCTCTGACATGCGAGGCCCTGCAGCAGGCACCCAGAGTTCACAGCGGCCCCCCACCCCTGGGATGAGAGCAGTCTACGTGTGAGGAAAACACAAGACACACAGGCAAACGCACAACAGCAATGAACAAGACAAGACGTGTTTGCTAAGCCGTGGCAGAAAAATGGTATAGACTAGGGTCGCAAACACAATCGTCTGCAGGGGCCAGATGGGCGCTGGAGGTGCGGGATCAGGGTGGGGAGGGCGTGGTCGGCCAAGACGCAGCAGCTGCTCCTTGGCGTCAGAGCAATGTCACCACGTGGGAAAGCAGACCCAGCATCACCAGGCCCTCTGGACTTTCAAGAGAAGCCAGAAGTTAGCACTGTTATGTGAAAAGAGTCTGATTTTTAAATGATGGCAATTAGTTTAAAAAAAAATTTTTTTTTTTAATTTTTAATGAGATATGGCTGTTTGCGACTTCTGGTGTAGACCATAAATGCTAGAGTGATTCAGGAGACAAAAGTGTTCACTGTTGGCTTCAGTTGTCAGAGAAGGCTTCTCAAAGAAGGGGAGCTTGGCGAAGGTCTTAGAAGATGGACAGGAATTAAATAGACCAGGAGGACTTAGGCTGAGAAAAGACCAGGGATCCTGAGTCTGGGGATGGACACCTTATTCCACACTTGTGCACCGGGCGACAGGGGCATGGAGTAGAGTGGGGCAGTGAGAATGACGAGGAGGGCACAGCAGAGGGAAAAATGCACAGAACCGGCGAGAGGGTATCAGAAAGGAAGGAAAAGATGGCTCCAAGGTTTGAAACCTGGATTGTTTGGAGAAAGGAGGTACCAAGGAGATGGGGTGGGGGGCGGGGAGGAAAGGCCAGCTGGTGTGGGGGAAGCATCAGTTTGCTTCTTAAGATACGCTGAGTTTAAGGTGACAGCCGGTCATCAAAGGGAACTGACACTGAGGCTGAGAGGATAGAGATGCAGGTGTCAGTGGAGGCCACCAAAATGAGGGGATTTTGAGAGAAAAGGTGGGGGGGAGGGAAAAGAACACAGGAGAAAGGACTGGATCTCAGGAAAGGCTTGACTTCTGAGGAGGGGACAGACATGGAGGAAACACAGCCTCAACAATGACAGAAAACGATCGAGTGAAACGAGGGGAAAGAAGTGACAAGGAAGAGATGGCTCAAGCCACGTCAAATGCCAGAACCTAACAATCAAAATCATCCACCCACTGGGACTTGCAATGTTTGTCTGTTTGTTTTAATAGCCGAGTGACTGGGAGTAGAAAACAGACTGCCAAGTGTTAGGGGCGGGAAGGGGGTTAGAAAACGGAGGTGGCCGGCGGAAATGAGTCATTCGAAGAACCTCCCAGGAAAACGAAGGAGACTGCAATGAAATGGGGCATCACGCTGAGGACAGGCAGGTACCGAAGAACTAAGGCCAGACGACCGAGAGTGTGAGACCAGGGTGCACAGGGGCACGGGGCAGAGGGGCAAGTGTGTTTTTTTTTCCTACCGTTAAGGACACTGAGTCTTTCTGAAAACAGAGAAGAGGGAAGAGGAGGACAGAACTAAGACGAGAGGCAGATTTGCGGACAGGCAGAGGTGAGAAGGGTTGAATTCCAAGGCTTGGGTGAAGGCGGCAGCCTTAGAGAGAAGAATCTCATTTCCTTCACGGGCTGCTCCCCCTCACACACCAGCTTCCCTTGTTCCATCCGAAACCTCTTCCCTGCCCCTGCCTGTTCCCCATGACTTTCTGACATACTTCTCTAGGGAAAATAGCCTTGGGTAAAGATAGAATGGGAGTTTAAAAAAAGGGGGCATGGCGCTGCTTACATCTTCTCTTTTTTGTGCCCGTTAAGTCAACCTTTCCAAACCAGGCTTAAAGCCATTCAAAGGCTAGGATGGTGACGTTTACTGGTTTGTCCTGTGCAGGGCCCCGCACACAGAAGGTACCCTATAAATACAGGCTCCTGGTGCTCTGACCTGGGCCAAGCTTCATTCCTTTGCACTCTGACTGAACCCCATTACTCACGAATTAGGAAATGGGATCACTTTGGAAAGCAAGGGCAGCTCGTCCTCTGAAGATTGGCCCAGCAAATCAGAGCCACTACACTCAAGATGGCTAAAGATCCAGCTAAGGGGTCAGTCAAGACATAGCATTTTCTTTTCTTTCTTTTTGGTCATGCTGTGCGGCATGTAGGATCTTAGTTCCCCGAGCAGGGATCAAACCTGCGCCCCCTGCAGTGGAAGCGCGGGGTCTTAACCACTGGACCGCCAGGGAAGTCCTAAATAGAATTTTCTGATTCCAAAATCTAAGGATTTTCAGGCACAAAGTCACACCCTGTTGGGATCACCTGCAATTTAGGGGAGGAGGAGTGGTATTCTTGAGGGGCCAGTGTGTACGCACAGACATAACCAGCCCCATACACACATAAGCTCAGTCTCTTTCACAATCACAGAGTCATCACGCTCAGCACCTGGCTTGATCCTCTTTCAGCCTGAGACCAGTGGTTCTGTCTGGGGCACCTGAGTTCCAAATGTCAGGACTATACCATAAGCAAAAGAGTATAACAGGTCCAAAGGTGACAGAGGAATGTCTGATCATTTAATGATCTCTGCTGACAGATGCTCTGAAGGCAAATCAGAGAGAATTAGAATCAAAAGAGTTAATGTTCAGTTTAAAACTAAACATCAAATGAAAGCTTGGTCCACTCGTAAATTGAGGGTAGGATCTGCAATGTGCTTAAATATGGTGGGCAAAGTGAGTGCTGATGAGAACAAGATCTGAACGGGGTGGTCACGGTCTCACGATTCAATCACAATGATTATGTGCCTGATGATGCGGTGTCAGGTACTGGCTTCTAAAATTCCTTTTGGGAAGTCCAAAATTTTTTTCATAGGATGTATGCTCTTGGAATCACAGGGCTAGAATTAAGCCCTATTAAACAAATAACTGATTTGCGAAAAGATAATTAGAGGCTAGAATGTTTTGAGCCTATTTAGAAGATAGAAAAACAGATGCTTCCCCCAAAGGGTGCAGCTTTCTCTTCAACTGAAGATTTCAGAAGAACTGCAAATGTTCCATTAGTATGTTAATTTGCGTTTGGAAGAAATTAGAGAATGCAGCAAGGGAAGATGAAAGTGTGCTGGGAAACAGTGCCCGCCTAGGCAGAGAGGCTTTGTCCAAAGGAAATGCATGCAAAGGCGCTGAGTAAAGAAGAACAGAGGCAGAAGTGGCAGAGGCGAGAAGGAGGCATCAGGCCAGCACGCAGGTTACGTTACCTTGATGGGCTCGCAATTCGGGAAGGGCCTTTTCTAAGACTGCTAATGCTTTTCTATGGTAATCTGCTTGAGCTTCTAATAACTGAGAACAGACCCACATTCAAAAACAAAAGTAATGTTAGCATTGGATGGACACACACACAATGGCTGAGCAAAACCAAAAATGACATCTTTTGCAAAAAAGCTAAAATGACTCAACTTTTACAATGCTTTAACGTCTCGTCAGGGCAAAGTGCTTACCGTAACAAAAAATTTGCCATACTCCCCTTCTCTGGCCATAAAATTGTACATATCCGCTGCAAGTTGATCCTGGGTAAGTGGAAGAGAAGATATGTCATTGAAGAAAAAAGAGGTGAAAGAAAATAGCATCTACGAATTGATCTGTGAGCTCCTAGAGCAAACTGTAATGAAACAGCTGCAGATTAAACGTCCATCAACTCACTGGTACAATCATACACAGGGATAACGAAAAGAATAATCAAGCTTATTAATGGACCGACATGGAAAGATCTCCAAGGTTTATTATTAATATGCCTTGTTAAGAAGCAAAGCACAGAGCACTACTTCTGGTATGGTATGTTACTATCTGGGTAAAAAAGGGAGAGGAAATATTTTTATCACCATGTTTGTATAAAAATACCCCTAGAGAAAAAAGCAAGAACTTAGTAACAGTGGTTACCTGTCGGGAGCAGTGGAAATTAGGAGGAGGAGGAGGACAAGGGCAGAAGAAAGACTTTACTGTATACTGTTTTATACTTTTGATATTTGAACTAATGTAAATAAATTACTTACATAAGAATTAAATAATTAGCTTAAAACTGATAGACTGGGCAATTGGATATATCCATATTTCTGATTTTCATATACATATACATATTCATATATATACATATCTATTTTTTTTAATGCACTACCTTCTGTTTTGGATTGGCCTCTGTATCTGGGAAAGTAAAACATTTCCCTGAGAGTTCACAAATAAATATAGACCTGCTTTCATGAGGGTTTGAACTTTGAGTTGATTCTCTGTGTGGTCCAGGAATCCTCGAACTGAGAAAGTTTAGTTTAAAATGGCTTGGTAATACTCTCTGGGAGACTCACTCCTAATCCCCAGAAGTCCCACAGATAAAGTCCCTCTTAAAATGAGCTCACAATACAAAACTGCAAAACAACCCACCGTAAAGGAAACTCCCACCACTCTCATAGAGAACTTCAGAAAACAGAATTAACTAACAAAGACTTAAAATAAGTATATATAAATGATTAAAAACATTAAAAAATAAATACTAAAAAGAATAATGCACTATCAAAAAAGGCAGACTTGAAGAATTAGAACTTTAAAATGAAAAATATAGTCAACAAAATTCAAAACTCAATGTTAATTAAACAGCAGATCAGACATAGCTAAAGAGAGAATCAGTGAAACAAAACTTAGATCTCAGGACATTACCCAGAAGTTAACATAAAGAGAGAAGGAAATAGAAAATATTTTCTTAAGTTTTTACCATTTGACTTTCTGACAAGCTGTGGTATGTAAGTTAAAAGAAGTCTCTCAAAAAAAAAAAAAAAAAAAGGAAGTCTCTCTTTGGGCTTCCCTGGGGGCGCAATTAACCCTTGGATCTGCGCAATCAAGCCATGTACCACATGAAGAATTTTCATAGGAAAGTGGCAGGCTGTTGAAAGATGTACCTTTCTTGACTTCATAATGGGGGTTACAGAAAATTCTATTTCTCCGGATTTTACTGTTTTCGCCAAATCCATAAATACTCTCAGATTTCCTGATCAATCTAGAAATTAGTTTTCTTTTTACCTGAATACTGAAGTCTCTCTTTGGGCTTCCCTGGTGGCGCAGTGGTTGAGAGTCCGCCTGCTGATAGAGGGGACGTGGGTTTGTGCCCCGGTCTGGGAAGATCCCACATGCCGTGGAGCGGCTAGGCCCGTGAGCCATGGCCGCTGAGCCCATGCATCCGGAGCCTGTGCTCCGCAACAGGAGAGGCCACAACAGTGAGAGGCCCATGTACCGCAAAAAAAAAAAAAGTCTCTCTTTTAACTTAGCCTATAATGCACCAGTTCAAACCCCCAAACTACCAGACAAATTTATATCCAGTAAGGAGCCACTAGCCAAGATCTAGGTTAGACCAGATATGAAGAAGACTGCTGCGTAAATGACACTGGCAAAACTACAACTCTTCTGAACAAGAATAAGCCAGTGCAAGACTTTTGTCAGAAGCATTTGTGTGATTATCATCTTTTTAAACATAAAGGCTATGGCATGACTTTGTGAGTCCAGTATTAATTCTTACCCACTATATTATTTTCAACAAGTCATTTTACTGCAGTTAACTGTCCAAGGTTTGCCATCATGAAAAGTGAGTTATAGCATGACCTGAATAAACTAAAATATATCAGTCTTAATGCTATCTAGTAGAATGTGGAGACCATTTTTGGAAAATGATGAATAATAAGAGGAGGAAAAGTCTCAGGCAATGATCCTAAGATTCACCAAAGACCTGTTTCTTTACCACCTCAAATGACATTTGGAATAAACATTTATCTTCGTAGATAGATGCATAGAGAATAACCACCTAGTCTGGAATTTAGATTATGAGATACAAATTTTTATTTCTTCCAAATTAGAAGCCAATTGTCCTAGCAACATTTTAAAAATAATCCTTCCCTTTTCTATGGATATATGATGACCCCTTTACTATATATTCAACCCTTAAATATAACAGCATTCATTCTAGAAAACCTACACAATTCCATGGATCTATTTTTGTGCCTATTGCACATTGTTTTAATTGCTGTAATTTTATGATATGTTTTTATATAGTTTTTCTCCTTTTATTCTCCCATTCTTCATTTTAAATAAGCTTAGACGGTTTTGTCAAGTTTTTTAAAATATCCTACTTGAATTTTTTCAATTAATTATTTTTTTCTGCATTGGGTCTTCATTTCTGTGCGTGGGCTTTTTCTCTAGTTGCGGAGAATGGGGGCTACTCTTTGTTGCTGTGCATGGGCTTCTCATTGCAGTGGCTTCTCTTGTTGTGGAGCATGGGCTTTAGGCACGTGGGCTTCAGTAGTTGCGGCATGTGGGCTCAGTAGTTGCAGCTCGCGGGCTCTAGAGCGTAGGCTCAGTAGTTGTGGCACATGGGCTTAGTTGCTCTGCGGCATGTGGAATCTTCCCGGACCAGGGCTCGAACCCGTGTCCCCTGCAGGTGGACACTGGCAGGTGGATTCTTTTT